TGTTGTTAGGTGCTGTGGAGTCGAGTGTTTACTCATGATTAAACACTTGCTGTTTCCTTTGTGATGATGAATGCCATGCCATTCCTCTTTAAACTGTCATTCCCAGCATAGTAGATCATATGGTTGTCTGATTCAAAATGGCCAAAAACAGTCCATTTCAGCTCACTATTGCCTAGGACATCAATCTTTATGCATTCCACTTCATTTTTGACAACTTCCAATTTTCCTAGATTCATCCTTCATACATTCCATGTTCCAATTATTAATGCATGCTTGCCACTGTTCTCCTCGATTTGAGTGGAGCCACATCTGCAAATGAAGGTCTCGAAAGCTTTACCTTATCCATATGAGTAAGGCTGATATTACTCTGATAATGCAGCTCTTGCCCAGTCCTACTTTGAGAGATTTCTAAGCTAAGTGACTTCTCTTCCTTCTCTATATTGGACAATGTTTCTGGACTATTCATAAAGTTGTGCAGTAATGTATCAGACAGAGTTTCTCTGCTATTCATAACGTTTTCCCTAGCCAAATCTTTGAGAAGTGGATGGCCTACTTCTCCCTAGTCTGTCTCAGTCTGCAATCTGGGCTGATACCTGTACATCATGTGCACCCCACTGGGTTTGAAACACCAGTGGCACAGTGAGTGTTTACTCATGTTTTATTGACTATGCAAAGGCATTTGACTTTGTGGATCGTAACAAATTATGGATAACATTGAGAAGAATGGGAATTCCAGAACACTTAATTGTACTAATGAGGAACCTGTACATAGACCAGGAGGCTGTCGTTTGGACAGAACAAGGGGATAGTGCATGGTTCAGAATCAAAAAGGGAGTATGTCCAGGTTGTATCCTTTCACTATACTTATTTAACTAATATGCTTAGCAAATAATCCAAGAAGATGGATTATATGAAGAAGAACATGGCATCAGGATTGGAGGAAGACTCATTAACAACCTGCAATATGTAGCTGACACAACTTTGCTTACTGAAAGTGAGGATAACTTGAAGTACTTACTGATGAAGGTTAAAGACTACAGTCTGCAGTATGGATTACATCTCAATATAAAGAAAACAAAAATCCTCACAATTGGTCCAATAAACAGCTTCACAGTGGATGGAGAAAAAATTGAAGTTGTGAAGGATTTCATATTACTTGGCTCTACAATCAACACCAATGGAAGCAGCAGTCAGGACATCAGATGATGTACTGCATTGGGCAAATCTGCTGCAAAAGACCTTTTACAAGTGCTGAAGATCTAAGATGTCTCCCTCAAGAGTAAGGTGCACCTGACACAAGCCATAGTATTTTCAGTCACCTCTTGTGCATGTGAGAACTGGACAATGAATAAGGAAGACTGAAGAAGAATTGATGCTTTTGAGTTGTGGTGTTGGACAAGAATGCTAAGAGTACCATGGTCTGCTAAAAGGACTAACAAGTCTGTCCTGGAAGAAGTGCAGCCAGAATGCTCCTTGAAACTGAGAATGACCAGACTTTGTCTCACCTACTTTGGTCATGTTGTCAGAAGGAACAATTTCCTGGAGAAGGATATCATGCTTGATAAAGTGGAGGGTCAATGAAGAAGGGGAAGACCTTCAATGGGATGGATTGACAAAGTGGCTGCAATGATGGGGTCAGGCATAGCAAGGATCATGAGGCTGGCACAAGACCAGGCAGAGTTTCGTTCTACTTTGCATAGGGTCACTTGGAATCAGAAATGACTCAATGGCACCTAACAACAACAGAAGATGAAATAGAGAATGACTTCCTTCTAGACCCGTACCCTGAATTTAGTCCTCCTAAACTGTGAGAAAATACATTTTTGTTCTTTAATCCCACCACTTGTGGGGGTTCTGTTACAGAAGCACTAAGAAGCTAAGACACTTGACCTAGTCATTAGTGCTCCAGCTCTCTTCTCCTTTTGGTCACCACATAGTACTTCCCCACCCCATAGGAAGTTAGGTTGTCCATATGACTTATTTGCCCAGTGAAATGTGAGCAGAAGTGATGGATGTTACTTCAAAAAGCTGTGTGAAGAGCTGGTATGTGCTTGGTGGAAGCACACATTGAGATGAGGCCTCCATCAGCTTGGGTCCCCTATTCCAAACCTGCTTTGAACATGGATCTAAGCAAGAAATAAAATTTTGTTTTGGCAATGACTCAAATGTTGGACTTGTTTGTTATCACAGCATAACTTGTCTTATAACTTATAACTGACTATTCCAGTGTTCCTAATCCCTGCTCCTTTCTTTCAGAAGGTGGAATGTAAAGGATGAAACTGGAAGAGGACAGAGGGAAGACAAATGATGGTCACCTCCACGTATACCTAGATCTCCACACTTGATCTTCAATTTATAAATAAAGAAACCTATACTAAAAGATATAGGTTCCTGGGTGGTGCAAATAGTTTGTGCTCCACTACTACCCTAAAAACTGAAAAAGAAAGGCCTGGTAATCTGCTTCTGTAAAGATCACAGCCAAGAAAACTCTATGGAGCAGTTTTATTCTGTAACCCATGGGGTTGTCATGAGTCGGAGTTGACTTGATGCTATCAGGCTGGGTTTTGTACTTCCCCACCCCATTTGAAGTTAGGTTGTCCATATGACTTATTTGGCCAATGAAATGTGAACAGAGGTGATGTTAATTATAAAATTAAAGGTATTTAGGAACTTGAGAAAATAACACAGTGATAAGTGGCACAAATATGCCTCAAATATGAAACTACACATATGAAATTCTCTTTTTAATGATAACCTCTGCATTGAGGAATACAGGATGACAGTGAAATCACCACATCAAACCACACTGCTTATGATGTCCTGTGACCTTTGGGATGAAAAGCAACCATACAATGACAACAGAAAGAAATACAGTGGGCCCCGAGAGGGATTTACCTTGTTCTCCTTCATTAATGCCTCTTCTACAGCCTGGCGACTGTATTCTCCAATGTACCAGTCGTGGTGCTGGACATCCTGCAGTCCAGGTGCAATAATGAATATTTGAGGTCAATGAGAAGGATTGATCCATCCATCCACCCATCCATCCATTCATCCATCCGTCCATCCATTCAACATTTACTTTAATTTCACCAATTAAATTAAATTTGATTTATGCAATCTACTTCCATGGTGATAGCACCTCAGAAACCCAAGGAGGGGTCATTATGAGTCAAATCGACTCGAGCCTGGAAAAGCTCAAAGATGCAAGATGCTTGGGAAGATGGACAGCTACAGAAGCAGTAGCTGCTGTTAGTTGCTGTGAAGGTACACACAGAACAAAATGCTGCCGGGTCTTGCATCATCTTCCGATCATTGCTGTGTTTGAGTTCATTGTTTGACGCTTCGAGACAGTCTATCTCATGGAGGGTTTCTCTCATTTCACTGGCATCTACTTTTCCAACAATGATGCCCTTTTCTAGCAACTGGTCTTTCCTGAGGATGTGTCCAAAGTAAACAAGCCTTGCCATCCTCACATCTAAGGAAGATTCTGGTTGTATTTCTTCTAAGACTGATTTGTTAGAAAAATGTAAACACACGTTGGGGATTATGAATTGACTGGCTTACTTCACAGGGTCTGCCTGTCATTGGAAGTAATCAGAAATCTCACCCTATCAGTTGAAGAAGGGTCCTTTGCCACCACTCTCAGAAGGGATGCTAAGCCGCCAAGCTGTCAATGCTTCCTGAAGCTGCACCTTCCAAACTTCGTGAAGATGGAAGGCACATTGTTTGAGAAGCCTGTGCTGCCCTGGTCATCACACATGAGCACGGACCAAGAGACAGGTGCAGACTGGGAGCATTCTTACCTCAAGTCACAGGGGGTGGATATAGCATTTGAACTCCAGCTTGTCTGGCTCTCTATCCTTATTTATTCTGCCTTATTTATACTGATTTAAAACTATTTTAAGTGGGTTCCTTTTGATCACGCACCCCATAATAACAGGGCAAAGAAGGGCAGTCAGTGAGATGTACCGTGGACCAACAATTCCTTCCCAGGAGCTCGGTGGGGGCTTGATCATGGTGCATTTCATATGCTTTGATTTTACTTATTTGTTCAAGTTTGAAAACTCTTCGAGATTTTATAGACTTGTGCTTCTCTAAATGTGGGCATGAGGGAGAGCTGGTGCTTTTAGGTGGTGCTCTGGTTGAGCATTCAGTTGCTAATCAAAAGGTTGGTTAAACCTACCAGCTGCTCCATGGGAGAGAGATGATACAGTCAGCTTCCCTACAGATTTACAGCCTTGGAAACCCTATGGTGTAGTTCTACTCTGTCATAATGAGTTACAATGAGTCAGGGTAGACTTGATGGCAGTGGGTTTGCTTTGGCCAATATAGCATTGAATAACTCAAAATCACCTGGGGGACCATCATCTCCCTTTTAATTTGCCTTCTGTCCCTCTGCATAATTCCAGAAGAATGCTTCATTTTGGTACTGGTATGTCCTCAGATCTCGCAGACATTTCTAATCTCCCCCTTTAACAGAAGAAGAGCAATCCTTATGCTGAGAGCCTTTATAGGCAACAAGATCCTGATGCAAATTTAATAGCCTCATTGTATTTGCACTGCAATTATTAAAGTTATTTTCTGTCTATGGTATATGATACTGTTTTTTATTTATAGTAGTAATATAAAGCTTCTATTTAAGTACAAAGAGTCAACTTAAAGCATGTTAAGCAAAAGTTAGAATAAGCACATCCTTCAATGCTTTATGGTGAAGGACTTTAATAGGTAGTGTTACAAGGTGATGGAGTGGAGACAAAAGCAAACAGGTAGAAAGAAAGCTTTATGCCCCATATGGGTGCAAAATTATTTAAGAAGAATGCATAGTAGGGATTGAGTGTGTTTTAGAAAGACACCAAGAAAGAGATGACAAGAACACATCTATTATCTGTTTGCATCTCTCCCCTCCTGAAATCTCCTTTGGAACAAGGGCCATAACTCTAGCTCATTGTCTGGCACATAATCAGTGTTCAATTAATGGTTATTGGGTTGTTCAAATGAAAAGAGTATGCAGTATGTCCTTCATTTGTTAGAAAAAGAATTGCAAATATGTAAATCCTAGTTCATCCCCAAAAGATTACTGAATAATCAGTAAATATAAAACAGATGATTAAATATCTCTATTTTTTTGGATTAATGAAAAAAATACTTTGAGAACACAGTAGTACACAAATGAAAGAATCTGGTAACAGAGCAGATTGTATTGAGAATAAACCAAATACAGTGAAGGCAGAAAAAACAATTGACGCCAATCATCACAGTTTTATTTTAGGCATTGCTCAATAATCAGTATTTTGATGAGAAATACTTGACAGAGAAGAGTCTATTGTACCTTTTCATCCGACCGTGTGGGGACAGGCTTTCTCCAACTTGTGCTTTTATAGGGTGGCTTATTCTCATGAGAGTTGTGGCTGATGGGAGACTGAAGTCGCTGAGGAGAACAGGACTGCAGGCTTCCTTTATGTGCTGGGGAAAAAATAAATTTACATTTAAATATATTTCATTACTGTCTCAGGTTGTTTCCCTCTAACATGGGGCTT